GTCCACAGCATGAACTCGCCAACAGTTGAGTTTAGCTTCCAAGCGAAACTCGCCACGATCAAGTTTCGCTTGGAAACAAACTCGTCAATCAGCCGAGTTTCACCAGCAATTCGAATTCATCAAGAACCGAGTTTCAGCGCACGCGAACCTCATTGAGACTTTAAGACAGTACATTTGAACAAAGTTATGGTTTTTGCAATTGCGAAAGTCATAATGTTACGTTCAAAGAAACAAAACATGCACCCAGTGTTTTAAAACAATACATTTGAACAAAGTTATGACTTCATAAACAAACAAGTCATAAGCAAAATGTATTAACACAAATCATAAAACAAAGGTCTCAGTCAAATACGCTAAAAGTGGAGATCTGTTCTTTGACTGCCTCCACCCGACTCGCATGGTCCGCCCGAGCTTTGTCCTCAGCAGCCCGCCGAATCCGGTCTTCGCGGCTCGACCTGGCGGCAGCATCCGCCTGACGCAAAGCTTGTAAGTGCCGAGTTTCCGCCTCAGCATTTTTACTGACCTTTATAACGTCAGACTGGAGCCCCTTCCACTTCGCCTCCGCCTGTCCTAATTCGGCCCTCAGGCGAGCCATGGTGCGGTTGAGGTCAATAATCTGCTCCTCTAGCGAGTGTTGTTGACCCACCCAAAAGTTAGTAACAGATTCCAAATCCGCTATTTCCTTAGAGCGGGTCTCCTGCTCCAGGGCGTCCTGACGCCTGACATGAGCCATGCAAGACTCCATGTTGGCCTCCGCACCTCCCCGTAGCAAGGTCTCTGACCTTATCATGTGTGGCTCCAAGAGACGGAGTTCACGCACGCAACGGGTAGCAAGCTGATTTTCACCCGTTCGCCGTAAATCAGCCACGCGGTTATAGAGGGACTGCCTGAAACTGTCGAAACTGCCCATGCCGAGTTTGACAAGGGAGATCACCTGCCTCACAGCGCTCTCGAACTCTTCGATGCGAGCCTGCCAGGACAAGGACTCGATCGGAACAGGCCGTTAGCCCGGAGCGAGCGCCGTGATGGGTGGAATTTCGAGGCAAGGTTTGGCTCCCGGTTGAGGAGCGGAATCTGAGGCAGCGGGGGTCGCAGGACCCTCAGACTCGTCGTCCGAAATTAAGATAGGCTCGGCCGCATATTCCTCAGCGACCGGCTCTTCCCCTCGATCTGTAAAACGCGACAATAACACAGAAAGGAGTCAATGGAAGAATACCTACTAAGTTCACGCAAAAATAGAAGCAGGAAGGTACCTTCAGCCGCGGTAGCCTCAGCAGCGCCTGAAGAAGACGGCTCCTTCCTTTTCTTGGAAACGACCCTCTTCACCTTCGGTGCCATTAGGAGAAGGAAGAAAGGGGAAATTCGGGCTTATGAGGGAAGATGATGAAGAGGCTGTAGATCCTCTTAATTCGCTATTAACTCCTACAAATCCGCCTACGAACAAAATTCACCTGCAGATGAGATAATCTTGCAGCAGAAACCCGCTGACAAGAGTTCCTCTGCAGTTGAGGTTCTCCTACGGTCGAATTCTGACTAATACAGGATTACAAGAGGGAGCACGCACACAAATGACAGTAGGCCAAAAACAAAAGGGATAATTTCATTCATGAAGAAGAAGTCCTATTACAAGCGGAAAATTAAAGGCGAATTACAGGGATTTCAATCTCAGTTCTGCCTCACGAATTTCTTCAGCATACAAGCGGAAAATTAAAGGCGAATTACAGGGATTTCAATCTCAGTTCTGCCTCACGAATTTCTTCAGCATGGCGGAGCTCAAGCCTCCTTAGTCAATCTCAGTTCTGCCTCACGAATTTCTTCAGCATGGCGGAGCTCAAGCCTCCTTAGGACCTCTCGACATGTCTAATCTTAAATTTGTTAACAACTACTAGTAATGAAAATAATAACATGTCTAATCCATAATTTCTCTACACAAAAATAAATTATCATTTAAATAATATATAATAGAAAACATCTAATGAGAAGAAATCTACTCACCTCAAAGGATTTGATAACAATTTAGAAAACCGTACTCCAAAAACCTACTCCTCGATCTAACCTATAATCATACAAGATGCATAAAAAATCTAATACAAAAGATTTCATGCACAAACTATTTTGGGCATACTACTAAGGTTTTCTAGTTTCTAGGATTTTTTTTAAATTTGTTTCTATTTTTTTCTAGAGAATCTAATCGTAAACTTTATTTAACTAAGGGCTCAAAGGAAAATCTTTCCATTAAATAAGTTTTATTTAGAAACATCTTCTTATAGGTTTTTGGACTCAAAACTATTTTTTTATATTTCTAGGGTCTTCTCTATAACTTTATTCCTATCCTTTATTTTTAAACAAAATTTTGGACATGACTATGAACATTCCTATGATAAAGGTCTACTTGTAGGAACCTCTCTTTCTAATGTATTGGACTTAAAACTAATTTTGTAAAACTTAAGATCTTGCGAATAATATTCTAAAAGTACACTTTTGGACTATAAATTAAATTCTAGAAAGTCTGGGGGTTAAATTGAAATATTCTATTTCTTCACCAAATCACTTGCTCGTTCTCTGTTTTTCTGAAACCCCATAACTTGAATTGGCTTTTAATAGGCATGGTGGATACCGCTAGCGAAACCCATAACTACAGATGGTTGGAGGTCGTCCGACAATGCCAGAGATGAAGCCGACGGCCAGAAAGGTGTGAGTTTTTTTTGTATGTAAAATAAACCATCAAAGAATAAAACTATCCTATTAGAAGCTCTGCTCTTTCTCCTTCTTCCCCCTCCCTGATCTCACTTCCTTTTTGTTTTTCCTTTTTTTTTTTGTCAACTGAAGATTTGGGGATTTTGGAAGGTTTTTTTACAGTTTCTATGAATTTTGGATTTCTAAACTTCCATATTAATTGTAATTATAAAAACACACTAACCCAATTACTACCTATAGTTATGAAATTCTTCATTAACTAAAAAGTTGATACTCTACATAATATAAGTGTTATATCCTACAAGTAGCTAAGTGTTCACCGTCAATGAGGAGTCAACATGTGTCCCACTGTAAATACCTAATTAGTCATATTATGGTAAAGACGATTCGAACGGCTTTAGCACTCGACCTTTTCTAAAATCAAGGTTAGGTTGACAACCTTTGAGACTGACTAGAAAGATTGTATGTATCAGCCCACACTATTCGAGTCGACCCCACTACTTTTCATTTCACAAGGCCGGGCCGACAACCTTGGAGGCTAACATAAAAGATAATATTTATCAGCCCACACCACTCAAATCGACCCCATTCCTTTTCACATCACAAGACTGGCCAACAATCTTCAAGGCCGACCAAAAAGACTGTACTTATCAACCCACTCGCAAGATCGACATAAGAGGCGCCACTTATTTACCCTCTAGTGAAGCGGAGTCTAGAGACGATGTATCCTCAGGGCCCCCTCCAACAATCAATTGCCATTACATTAAATAAATGATCAGAGTTATCATTTCTTTAGGCCCAAAACTCTTTATGACTCATCGGACATCGTCAGTGCTATGTACACTCTGTGTAAAACCCCATGAATTTTGAAAGAATAGTGTGATTTATATATTGATAAATAAGCTTTAATCATGATAAATATCAATTATAGATGAATGGTTATGCTAACAATTGATCTGAGTTGAATTAAGAGTATATATGAGAGTATACTAAGGTTAAACATGCACGAAACAAGTAAAACATGCACAAAGAAAAAATCTAGAAATTTTGACCAGTTAAGAGTATATACGTATTACACACCGATGAATTTTGATTATGAAAAAACTTAAAAGATAAAAGTTGTATGTCTCTTTAATATCTTTCTAACGCATCTTAAATCATCTCATTTCGAGGTCAGACGAGAAATTTACAGTCAAATTACCGAAGATTATTTTCCCAGTCTGACTGGGTTTCCTGTTGTTTCGGGTTTGGGCTGTTTTGATTCGGTTTAAAGCTATATATATACATGTTTACACATGAAAAACACATCTTTTCATAAGTTTTCCAAACCCTAGTAGCCCCTCTCCTCCTCTCTCAAACCCTAGCTCTAAATTTGTGATTTTGAGGAAGTCTTGTGAGGCGAGAAGCGAGGAGAAGGAGAGATTTGCGGTTTTTGGCGACAGGGGATCGTTTCCTAATTGTTTTAGAGAGTTGTACACATGATAAGGAAAGATCACCTCTGTCCAAACCTTTCCCTTAATAAAAATTGAGTTTTTATGTGATAATTATGTTTAGCTTCATGTTTAGGGTTAAATCTAATGTTAAACATGTAATATATGATGTTTAAGCTTTAAACCTATGTCAAGAACAGTAGAACAAACCTGTAATTGATTAGTATACATGATCATGATCATTAGAGTTAATCTTAATATGTTAATTCACTACTGCAAAGGGGACTATTGGCGACGGAAAAATCCGTCGCCAAAAGTCTAAAATCCGTCGCTAAAAGTTTTAGCGACGGAAAAAAAGAAATTCCATTGTTAAAAATCCGTCACTATTGTCAGGGTAGGTAAATCTACCTTTAGCGACGGCAAATCCGTCGCTAATTTATAGCGACGGATATATAGCGACGGAAAATCCGTCGCCAAATTATTATTTTTTAGCGACGGATTTCCCGTCGCCAAAATAAACTTTTGGCGACGGATATATAGCGACGGAAAATCCGTTGCTATATAATTTTCCGTCGCCAATATTTATTGGCGACGGAAAATCCGTTGCTAAAAGTTGTTTAGTGCACATCTGGCGTGTCAGTTTTCCGTCGCTAAAAGAGCTTTTAGCGACGGAATATCCGTCGCTAAAAATAATCTGAATTTTTTTAAATTTTTTTTTGAAAATAAGAAATTCCTGTACAATATATTTCACAACAATAACCTGTACAATAAATTTACCCAACACAAGCACATATAACACATATTTCACGTATATATAACAATTATTTCACTAAAAACATAATAAATATCCCAACATTAGAAATGTTTATACAGCACACCCATTGTTTTTAATGTTAAAACAAATAAACTCAGTCCCGATCATCATCATCCTCATCCTCATCACCAACTCCACCTTGTCGAGAAGTCCCAGCCTAAAAAAATAAATAAAACGTTATAGAGCAATACGTACATCATCAAAAACTGAATTTTACAGTAAAGTAACAAATTGTAAAACAACAAGGCATAACATGCAAGTATAGCAATAATAGAGTATCATGGCATATTCTTACATGTTATATGATTCAGAGAGAGTATCATGGCATATATTTATGTATTATACGCAAGCACGCACATGTTTTTAACAACGCACGCACCCGTACCTATCTCCGCCGACACGCACACACGCACGCACGAGTACCCAGCTCAACCCAATCCCCACACTTCCCCCTCCCCCACCACGACCAAACCCAACATCAAGCACGCACATAACGATCACGACAATACAACACATGCAACACCACAACACAACAATAACAACACCACCACCACTACAATAACAATCCCCCACCCACGAACCAACCAAACTCCTACCCCCCACCCCCTCCCCCTCCATCATCATCACCACCACCACCACCACCACGACGAAAACACCCACCAACCAACAACATAACCAACGACCCTACACACGAACGCCCCACAACAAAACAAAATAACAACTAACTAACCAACTCACTATCCAATACAACCATCGCTACGCATGCACGCACCATCAACACCACCATCACATAAAAACATTAAGTATATAATTTTAGTTGTGTTTCGGAGAGAGATATAGTTTGTGTGTAACAGTTTGTGTGATATCATTTAGTCACACGGCATACTCGTAACTAAGTAAGAATTTTATATTTAATTCATTTAATTAAAAAAGAAATATACATATATATATATATTACCTGATCCGCCAAAAACCGTCTCCTATATGCCTCCTGAGCATCAGAAGGTAGAGTCGATATAAACTGGGTGAATTCCAGCTCCCTCTGCTCCCGACGCCTCCGTTCTTCCTCCGCCATCTGGAGTAGCTCCGACTCCTGACGCGACTACCAATCTTCCATCGCTTTCATCCGCTGCTCCATAGTCGGGTCTTGAGAAGAACCGCATCCTGGTGGAGCTGCAGACTCGTGGGTGCTACTGGACTCGTACAGCCGATGCTCGGATCCTCTCCACCTGTATCTGTTCTTCCTACTCGGTCCAATGACGGTCTCGATGATGCTATCCTCCTCCTCTCTACTTAATCGGGTCGGAGTGTTAGAATCGACCTGAGTCTGTGATAATTGCTCCTGCACCTTAGCATGTAATTTCTCCTGCGATATACCAAAACAATCCGATCAATTCTAACACATTTAAAATGCATTATTAAAAAAATTAAATATACAAATTAACTGCTACTTACAGCCAGATCCCGGTTCTGCGCTTTCTTCACTTCATCGGCGTAATTTGGACTCCAACCAGTCAGAATACGATCTGCAAAATGCCCGAGTTCTCCCCTTCCCTATTTTATTCACATATATCATTAACTCATAACACATAAATTATACTCAAATTGATAACCTAAGAGCTAATATATTATATACCTCAAGCGCCAATTGATGATAATGCTGGCTGAAGGACCTGGAGCCCCCGTGATGCTCGTAACTGCGGGGCGCATTGCGGTTCCTCCTTGCTATTTCAGCTTGTTCCTGCAAAAGAATGTTAAACAGATATAATATAGAATTTCAAACAATAAACAAAGATATATACTTCAATAATACCTGAGCTTCGGCCGTGTCCCAATAATCGCAAAGTGCAAAAAAATCAACTCCATCGGCGCGCTCGTCAAGATGCCAGTAACGCTCCCAATCTTCTGTTCTTTGAGTAAAATATTTTTTCTTCAGCTCTGACCGCCACCTCTTGAACGATAGATTGATTTGCGTGAAGCAGTAAGTCCAGGCACAAGCGTAATCGTCAAGAAAGAAAAATCGCTTCAGCATACAATGAAAAAAGAGATACAAATCAGTGTGTTAAACAAAATAATATAAACTATAAAATAAATGACTCACACATATATATCGCCAACAAGCCACCAGCGCATCAATCCGCTGCGACTTCCACGTCAAATATATGTTGAAGAAATCATGTCTCCTGGCTAAAGCGGCGAGGAAATTGTTGAAAGAGTTAGCAAATGGCCCGACAGGCACGCCGTTCTCCCATCGGATCACGGCCCTCCGACGAATATCTGGGACGAGGTTCTGTGGCTTGGTACTACTGCGGCCGCGCCTAGTAGGTCGCTCGGTACCTACGAAAAAATGAAATTCAGGCGAAATATAAATCAATCAATATCGATAATACAAATTAAAATATTAACATATAAACTATAAAAATCTATACACACCTTTCAATTCGAGGCATCTACGCCTTGCTTGTTCATACCTCTGCTGTGCGATAAGTCGCAAATCATGATAAGCATCCCAATCCTCCTTCACCTTGGCCGGGTCGTGGGCTCGCTGATCCGGAATAGAATCCGGCGGTAGTGGCGCAGCTTCTACAGCTGCGCTATATGGCTCATATCGGCGCTCCTCCAATACATCTGCAGCCTGAGGAGGCGACGGCGGCATCTCTGCATGCTGGGCAGGATCAACGAGTGTCTCCGCATCAGGTGGAGCATCTCCTCGTCCTGTGTCCTGTGGCGGCCCGTCATGTGTAGCAGCGATGCGGCCTGCGTAGGAAATGTGAAAAAATAATGTTAGGCTCGTATTAATAGTTTATAGAAATGTACAGATATAATAAATAAATAAAAATACCTGACGTAGAGCCATGTACGTCGCCTCCAGAATGTCTACCAAAAACTCTCTCAAGCGCTCTCTTACGTAATCCTTTTGTCATCTATACTTTGAAAACATAATGAGTACCTAACAAAACTATAATACATGACTTTCCTCAGCAAATCTAATAACATCTCAAAATGTGTAACAGCCATCCCACTGAGTGTTTGGATATGAATAAGCCTCAACATAAAAAAAAGCCTTGTGAACTCGGTGCAACCCTCGTATAACGGTGACTCGTTTTCTTCAACAAGTCTCATCAATCGATCTACATCTTGAAACATATCATTAGTGTTGACATCACTCACCGACGGCGCTGCAAGAATATCTTCTAACATATCAGTCGTGTCAACTGTCGGATTGCTGACTTCAGTGAATTCTTCCTCTGATTGCATCACCGGGACGCCTTCACCGTGATGACTCCAAAATACATAAGAGCTATCAAATCCATTGATTGACAGATGGAAACTTACGTCACTCCTAGTGAGCATTTTATCATTCCTACAATTCTTACAAGGACAAAAAATCAACCCGCTGAGTGACCGTAGAGGGTTGGTGTCAGAGTAGGCTAAGAAAGCTTCTATCCCATCCTTGTATCGAGTGTCTAGATGCCTTCGATCACGTGGTATGCCCATGAACGATTTGTCAGGAATTGTCCGCATCTAGAATTTAAAAATTAATGGAAGTGAGCATATCCCTACATATATCATTTTAAGTTATAGGACAAGTGTGTGTGATCGGCTGTCAGAGGAAGGCTTCTATCCCATTAGGTATGTAAACGTAGCGTGTATATGTATTTACGTGTGTTCAAGTGTACTTTCAATTCGTCAAAATTTCGGCAGCACCTACCCGCTGTTCTCCGAGTACACTATAGTACACGGAGAACAACGAGTAAGCGCCGTCGAAACTCTGACGAAAAGAAAGTACACAAGAACACAAGTAAATACATATACACGCCATGTTTACATACCTAACCCGTCCAAACTGGACAGATCCAATAAATATTTATATATAAGCCCCCTCTCACATACGCGTACAAAAAAGTTATCGGACTATCTCCTAATGAGATCTTGGCCTTTGATTTATCAATCAAAGGCCAAGATCTCCTCATGCACAAAAGTAGGCGGGAGATAAGGCCTAGATATTGGCCTTTGATTGATAAATCAAAGGCCAAGATCTTCTTATTAGTAGGTATTAGAAGAGGATTCATCAAGTACATCAAGTACAGAAGTTACGTTATAGTATTCGGTAAATCGTCAAATCTTGTAGCTTTGCTAAAATAGCCAATAATCAGTCCATTTCTGAGATGATTTTCTTCATCTCATTCGAAGGGGGAAAAAATTAAACTCTAATTATATACAGCAGCCTTTGGCAAAAAAAAAAGAGGCAAGTAGGCAAATAAGGCTAGCTGCCCATCAACGGGACATTCATTTGTATTCCCTTTTTAGTCAACTCATATCTCTCACAGAGAAGTGTGAGCCCCACTTCCACTTCTATTGGTGCAGCTTTGCTTACCTGCCATGTGTTTTTACGCCGTAATTTACTCTCTAATTTCATAATTAGTAAACCTAATTAACCTTTAAAACAACCTGTGTTATCGTCATATACGTACATGCGCAATCAGAAATATTCATTTTAATTTTTAAAAACTTTAATTTTTTTATAAAAAACTTTTTTTTTAGGGGGAAAAAAAACTTCAAAATGTCAACGTGGGCTTGGGGGACTAACCCAACCCCATCCGTAAGTGGTCCACCACCACCAAAATTACTAAGGCCGAGTTCATTATAATAACCAACAAATGGAGCAAAAGGATGTTCTCATCTTAATAATATATGATATATAATCATAAAATACATGAATTAATTATGTATTGTTTCCATGACTTGTTGTGAGGCTAAAGTTCACGAGTTCAAGCGGCACGTCTGAGGAGTGAAGTGAGCTTGAGAGAACAATACATGCAAGTGTGAATTTTTAGTCACATGGCATTTGTGGGACCCATGGCCGGCTACCCTCCCTTATCATTGCCATTATATATATAATAAATTGCAAATTAAACTAGCTTTACGAATCTTAAACCCTCTAAGGGGGAAAAAATTAAACTCTAATTATATACAGCAGCCTTGGCAAAAAAAAAAAAGAGGCAAGTAGGCAAATAAGGCTAGCTGCCCATCAACGGGACATTCATTTGTATTCCCTTTTTAGTCAACTCATATCTCTCACAGAGAAGTGTGAGCCCCACTTCCACTTCTATTGGTGCAGCTTTGCTTACCTGCCATGTGTTTTTACGCCGTAATTTACTCTCTAATTTCATAATTAGTAAACCTAATTAACCTTTAAAACAACCTGTGTTATCGTCATATACGTACATGCGCAATAAACAAAAAAATTTGTCGGAAATTAATTTTAGCGACGGAATTTCCGTCGCTAAAAAATATTTAGCGACGGAAATTCCGTCGCTAAAAATAATCTAGCGACGAAAAAAAAATTCGTCGTAAAAAATATTAGCGACGAAAAAATTCCGTCGCTAAAATGTGCTAATCCGTCGCTATAACTTTATTAGCGACAGATAAATAGCGACGGCTAATTCCGTCGCTATAAATCAACCTATAGCGACGGAAAATTCCGTCGCTATTTTTCCGTAGGTAAAAGCACATTTTCTACTAGTGATTACACTTAAATTTTGGTTTATATGCACTAATTTGTCAAAATAAACATGAATTTAGTTAATTTGCATGTTTAACCTTAGATCCATGAGTTCATATTGATTTCATCTTATTTAAAAAAACCCCTGATTAAGTAATCATGAGTATTGAATCAAGTTTTATTCATATAATTTAATAAAAACCCTAGCTTTGAAGAAAAATCAAGTAAAAACCTGAATCTGTAAATTTTGGTCTGTTTAGTTGACTGGTGGGAGGTCATCAGCCGACTGATGGGCAACATCAATCAACTGATAGGCAACATCAGTCGACTGACGGGCTTGGCTGTGTATGATTTGTGTGACCTCAGCTTATCAGTCGACCAAAGCTTTCATCGGTCGACTGATGAAGCTCAATATTGTGAGTTTGAACCTTTTACATGTGGGTTTGATGTACGAGCACGTAGAGTAAGTCGTGTGATATTCTATACACATACTTTGAGGAGTACATGTATGGAGATTGAGTATGTACAAATCTAATGTTTGGAATAGCCAAATAGTTTACAATCGTTACGAGTAATGACTATTATAGTTAGCTTTTATTGAGGATGTTGAGTGGGGTTAGTTGGGGCCTGCAATGAGACCGTGAATGGACAACACTCTGAGTGTGTTAGTCAGGACCGCAATGGGACCACGATGGACTTCACTTCTTTATGTATTTTTGGTCCGCATGAGCGTGCGCAGAGGTCATTGAACCTATGATTTTGGTCTGCATGGTTTTGCGCAGAGGTTGATATACTTATTTATCAGTCCGCACTGGGGTGCAATTAGTTGATATATTATTTATCGGTCCGTATTGGGGTGCGATGAGGTGATATACTATTTATCGGTCCGTACGGGGGTGCGATGAGTTAAAGAATTCCAGAGAAGGAAGATTTGATAAATTTGATGATAACCTAAGCGTAGACGATTATTGACACTCGTTCGATATGATCTATTGTGAAGGTATTTCACAACTTTAGTACAGGAGATAGTGTAGTAGTATTTGTTTTTTCCACCAAGGATGGTATGAGGAGTCAGATGACATTTTGTATGGAGATGATTGATGTATTTCTTTCTGTATTACTCTCCTTTATTGTTTTATTCTTAGTTGGAATTTATATCTAGAAATTTATGACTTGAGACACATGGTATATATATGAGAGTTTCCTTGTTTGTATTATTTCGCTCGACGTACCAGTCTTGTGTTGTAAATTTCTAAACATAAATTTTATATAGTACAAGGTAAAATGATCTAGGTAGACTATGCACTTATAGGTAGAGCCTTCATCATACTTAGTATCCCTTCCCCTAGGGACGAATGGAGATGATCTTGCTAGCGCTCTGATACTGTTGAGTTCACTTCTTTTCAGTCAGCGGAGCAGAGATTCAGAGATTCACAGGTTGACGGACTTTCAACATAATCGCTGTCAATTATTTTTAGTAGTTTCTGCTCCACAGATGTTTAGTTTTGTTTCTAGTTGATTATTAGACTTGCATTTTATTTTGAGAGCTGAGAGAGCTTATGTACTTTTAGTTGACTCTGTGTATGGAGACATTTTATATTTATTCCAGTATCAGTTGTATTTTATTTTGTTTCATTTAGGACATGATTATATTATTGGATCTCTCTTCATTTAATCATGTTCATTTTATTATTACCTTAATTTTGCATGTTTTGTACCTACACTTGTTGTTGTATCTACTAAGAGATATTACTATGATGGTGAAACGTGTTTTGCACAGTGTAGGTGCATGATAGGTTTGACATTATTGGATTCACCTTGGATTGTAGTTTTGTGTGAACCCAGGGGCGTCACACTCTGTCACCTTCATATTAAATGTCTGGGGAACTCATCCTGCTTTGCAACTGAAACCTGTAAAGTAGATGATGACCGAGCCGCATGCTTGACTCGGTCAAAGTTACCCATCTACCCTCTAGATCTGCTATAAAAGGGAGCTACTATCTATTGCTGAGGGTAAGCAATCTCTTGCTAACAAATTATATTGTCTTCATACTTCTCCACTCAAACTCTTTACTGACTTGATTATCGGAGGAACTATTGAAGATCCCAACTCTGACCTCTTACATGTTTTTCATGTGCGGGATGGAATTCACTGCTCAGAGCTTAGCTGTCTAAAGGAGATTGAGTATCCTAAACCCCAACATAATCTACACATAATTTTATGTTAGATAACTGACATTAATAGTTTGGCGTGCCTTGGTTTTATCCCGAATGGGTACCAAGGTCTTTCGAGTTAAAGTCGACTGTGTCAATGATGTGCCTTGACTTTATTTTGAATGGGTACCAAAGTCTTTCGAGTCAAAGTCGACTGTGTTGATGGCGTACCTTAGTTTTATCTTGAATGGGTACAAAAGTTTTTCGAGTTGAGCCTCAGGCATCTGCGAGGTCTTTTAGGTACTACAAAAGCATATCATAATAAAATTATTAAAATAAGGACTACAAAAGCATATCACAATAAAATTATTAAAAAATTATATCACATGAGAGTCTTACAGTTAAAAATACGAAAAGTATTTCTTGAGATGCTCTATATTTTAAGGATGCTGTAAGATTCTTCAATCAAAGCTTCTCAGTCGATAAGTGCCGGAAGGCACTTCCTCGATGACCGTATACGATCCTTCCCAATTGGCGGCCAATTTGCTGCACTTGGTGTCTCTATGAAAAATTGTTCCTCGAAGGATGAGATCGCCAA